ATTCATGTACACATCGGAGGTTGAGGGGTGCGATCGCAGGGGAACGGAGACCCCCAAACCTGGAAATCCTTTCGTTTCGTTCGTGTCATGCGTGCGGGCGAGGCGAAGCTGCGTGGGCGTACGAGAGGACTGAACCCGCCGTTGCTAGGGCGCTATCAAGACAAATGTTTCTCCTCCGTCCGGCGATGGCTCGTGGTGTCCCGTGGTGTCCCGCCGTTGCTAGGGCGAAAAGAACAAATGATTCTCCTCCGTCCGGCGGTGGCTCGCGGTGGCCCGCAGTGTCCCGCCGTTGCAAGGGCGAACTCAAGACAAATGTTTCTCCTCAGTCCAACGGTGGCTCGCGGTGTCCCGCAGTGTCCCGTGGTGTCCCATGGTGTCCCGCCGTTGTTAGGGCGAAGTCAAGACAAATGATTCTCCCCCGTCCTGCGGTGGCTCGCGGTGTCCCGTGGTGTCCCATGGTGTCCGCCGGTGCCAGGGCGAAGTCAAGACAACTGATTCTCCTCCGTCCGGCGGTGGCTCGCGGTGTCCCGCGGTGTCCCGTGGTGTCCCGTTGAATGCGATCGATAGTGAGATCGATCGTGAGATCGATAGTGAGACCGATGAGATCGATAGTGAGATCGATACTGTGATCGATGTGGTGCCCCGAGGTGTCCCGTGGTGTCCCCAGAGAAAGAGATCGATAGTGAGATCGACAGGTGTCCCGTGGTGTCCCGTTGAGTGAGATCGATCGTGAGATCGATAGTGAGATCGATACTGAGATCGATGTGGTGCCCCGATGTGTCCCGTGGTGCCCCAAAAAGTGAGATCGATAATGAGATCGACAGGTGTCCCGTGGTGTCCCGTGTTGTCCCGTGGTGTCCCGTTGAGTGAAATCGCTAGTGAGATCGATAGTGAGACCGATAGTGAAATCGAGAGGTGTCCCGCGTTGTCCCGTGGTGTCCCGTGGTGGCCCGTGTTATCCCGTGATGTCCCGTTGAGTGAGATCGATGGTGAGATCGATAGTGAGATCGATAGTGAGATCGACAGGTGTCCCGTGGTGTCCCGTGTTGTCCCGTGGTGTCCCGTTGAGTGAGATCGATAGTGAGATCGATTGAGTCAGATGTTGTCCTCCCCCTCTCCCCCCCCCACCACCTCCTTATTACCCGAAGGGTGGTCGCATAGATACATATATATACACACAAACACCCTCCGACGAATTTTGCACGCACCTTCCGGAGGGCGACGGTGTATGCAGTCGCTGGCTCCCAGTGGTGAAATATACACCGCCACTCTCCCATGAGGCCCAGGAACAATCCAGCGGAGAGTGTCTGTGTAATTTTCTTGGTGGCGGAAAGAAAGATAGGAACTCGGATCGGATCCGAATGTGCGTCGACGCAGGGACTCGGATAGGGTCGGAATTTTCACCGGCGCGGGTGTGGGATCGAATCGGATCGGCTGCGCCAGGATGCACAGGAGCGCCATGGAAGCATTGGACAACACCGGAACGTCGGAACGTCAACATCGCGCCGGCCGAAACCCCGATACCGACTCGGATCCATCGGATCGACATGGACGACGTGCCCAGGGCTCCGCAGAACAGAACAAAACATGGCGAGCGCTGTTGTGCACCTGGGGCGGCCTGTCAGGGGTGGGGGGAATTCGGTGTCGAACGACGGGGCGGGGATAGCAGCGGGCGGGGCTGGCAACTCAGCCCATTGCCCGCCACGAGCTCATCCATACCCAATACATGGACAAGCCCGAGGCGACGACGATCTCATGATAATTACGGAAGTGCCCTCAGCAACTGGAGAGGGAATACTTGAGAGTGGCACTCAGGTAAGGCGATGCCAATCCTATTGAGCAAGGACCTTCCGTCCCAGCATTCATATAGGCCTACCACGACATGTTCTTCGAACCCAAAAAGGTTACAATAACAAGAGCGATGTTCTTAGTACATAAAGGCGACGTGTTGAAACAAGACAGTTTCCAAGAACAATGTTCTTAGTACATAAACCCGACGTGTTAAAACAAGACAGTCTCAGTCAGACATGTTATTGGAACATCTTGTGCAAATCACAAAACAGTTCTTAAAACATTATTTGGTGCGCCTGTAGGCAAGCGGGGACGCTTCGCCACTGCTTGAATCCTAGTCGTAGTCACACGGTTCAGCCTGGTAAGCTCAAGTATAGCTGTTTTTGTCCAGGCGCCTCCCGCCGGAGGCGCCCATGTATTGAGGAACGCGCTCGGCGGCAGGGCCGAAAGCAGCTGCATGCAAGTTTCAAGCTCCCTCTTCCAACTCCCTCGGTCTGCGCTGGAATGGCTCCGAGATAATCTGTCAAGAGAAAGGGGCGGGACAAACCCATTCCAAATCAGTCCCCAGACCCCCCCTCGAGTAGAAACAAACAACTTGTTTCAGCCGCGTCCAGCCGTGGCGGCAAGGGGGGCCCTCTCCCCAATTTATGCTGTCCGTGACCAGTGCTGGGCCACCTCTGGCCACCAGCTGGCTCCAAACCGGCCCTTTCGCCCGACCCGACCCGACCATCTTGGGCCCCAGGACCCTCCGGGAACAGCCTACGAGAGGCCCGTCCCGAAGACGGGGCCGAGAGGTGCAAGGTCGGAGGGTTCACGTGGTGAACAAAAGCAAGCATATCCTCGGAGTTTTCCAGAGAGTCAGGGTGCTGTTTCTGGGAACCTTCCTGGAGCCACTAGCTCCCACTCGTGCGCCGAAGCTGCGGCGATTGTCCGCCGACTCGACTCAAAGTTACGTCGAACTTAAGCCGAACTTGAGTCGAGCTAGAGTCGAACTGGAGTCAAAGTTTAATCACATCAGAATCGAACTGGAGCCGAATGGATCCGTTAGAGGTGGGCCCCTGCAAGTCTCCCAAAACGAGCACGCAAGCAGGGGGCACTAGTCTCTCGCTGGTGCGCACAAGGGGGTGGAGGGAGGGGGGAGGGTTTGTTTGAAGGAGGTTGCCTCTCAGAAGGCGCCGGCCTTACATCTATAGTATCCATCGATGGGGCCCGCACACTCTAAGAAGCAAGGGTGCTTCAAAGAAGCCCTCCCCCCTCCCTCCGATCTGACGCTGCTAACAAAACGCAACGTCGGCAACAAATCCCCGCTGGAGCCCGGGCCCCATCTTTCTGCGTCACTCTTCGAGCCGCACCGATCTGTGAGGGCTGCTGCGAAATAAAAGGAAAACGCTCCTTGTGCACAAATCGCAGCGCCTCCTCCTCCTCCTCCTCCTCCTCCTCCTCCTCCTCCTCCTCCTCCTCCCCTCAGGGCTCGCCCTTTCCCCCTCTGCGCGAGGCCGACGCCCTCTTTCGCCAGGCACCGGGGGGACCCACGGGCAGGCTAGCAAAGGGCCGGGCATAAAGAGAAGCAGCTCGCGCATAGCTGGCTTTCCTGACGCCTCCTGGCGCTGGGAGGCGCCGCGCCCGTTCGAAATTGACTACATTGAACAGCCAGCCAAGTTTGGAGGGCAAAAGGAAATCCCTTAATGCATATGACATTCGCTTCCAAATCTCACTATTGCATGGCGCACTATCTTCGGCTGGTCCATGTATCGAGGAATGTATCCTGGCGGCGGGGTGGACACCAGCTGCATGCAGAAGAGTTCGTAACCCCCCCCTTTTCTCCATCTCCCCCATTCTTGCCATCGTGCGGACGTCCCTTCCCCGTGCATCTTCCGGTGGCGTGCGGTCTCTGCCAGGATGGTCCCGGGATGCTCCTCGATGGTCCTCACCGAGCAAGAGCGCACACGTCCGAGCGATGCCGCCCCTGTGAGTCGTCCGTGCCTCCTTCGGCGGCGTGCGGCTCCTGCCAGGCTGGTCCCGGGATGCCCCCCGGAGGGTCCCCACCGAGCAAGAGCGCACACGTCCGAGCGATCACGCGCTCGGCGCCCGCTCCCGGCCGGGGCCCACTGCAGCCGGGCAGTCCCCAGCCCTCTGGCGAGCGCAGCGCCCCGGCACGCGCGGCGGCCCTCGACGGTGCGCACCACGGGGGCATCATTATGTCGGGCCTGTCCCCCATACAGGGGGATTTTCGACGAAAAATGAAACATACCCCCAACAAATACCCCAAGAAGGTCAAAACATACTCGAAAAATAGTCCCCGACGATTTTTGGATTATTTTTTGGCTATTTTTTGGGTACCTTGTATTTTTCGTCGAAGGTCCCCCTGTATGGGGGACAGGCCCGACTTATGGGTCTCATGGCGGGCTCGCGCAGTGCCGAACTCGGCGTGGGCCTCTGGCACCGCAGGCATCGTTCAACCTCTACGACGAAGCCAGGACAAGGACAACATATCGGGAGAGGATAAACCGAGAGTCTCTGAAATCCATCGGCTCTGGACAAGGATAACATCGGGGGAGGGTAAACCGAGTCTTTAGAATCCAACGGCTCCGGAGGATGCCTCGGGCGCCGCGGCTCTCCCAGGGCGTCCTGGAACGCCCTGAGAGCGTTCTGGAACGCTCTGGGACGGATTTGTCCTTGACCTGTAGCCCCGTCTGGCCCCCTGAACGATCGGCCGCTTCCGACACGTCAGATCTGTCAACATCGACCGATTCTGGGTCGCCGGCAGCGTTCCACGTCGAACGCCCGCGATGGGGTCGCCGGCGGTGGACACGACGCGAGCCCGTAGGGGGAGGCGGGGGGGAGGCTTCTCAGAAGGAGGCTGCTCCTTGGAAGTCCTCCACCGCCCCGCCAAAAAAGAAGGCCCAGGGAGGCACGCGCAATTGCAGGCAGAAATCCCAGGATCCCCGACGACTTGTCCACATCTTCTGGAGTCTCGCGTTTCCCCTCCCCTCTTCCAGATGCTCCGCTGTGTTCGTGGGCATCGACGCTTATCATTGCGTGACTGTGCCTATTTTCCCCTCCTGAGTCTGCGCCCTTCCCCGGCTCCGCGCGGGCCTCCTGGGACACACCGGCTGCGCAGAGAGGCTTCCGCCCGGCCGCTCTCCTGGCGGCGCTGCTGCGCGGGCAGGAGCCGTTCGCCGGGGCCCCGCTACCCATCGCCCTTGCGCCGCTTCGCGTCTGGCTCCTCCTTCGCCTCATCCTTCGCCTCGGCCTTCGCCTCCCGTTTCGCTTTCTTCTTGGCCTTCTTTTTGGCCTTCTTCTTGGCCTTCTTCTTCCTCTTCCTCCTCTTCGACGAGCTGTCGGAGCTGTCGGACGACAGGCTGGAGGAGGAGTCGCTATCCGAGGAGGCCGGGGAGAAGCCGGCGGCGCGACCGCCCAGGTGCTTGATCAGCAGCTTCGCCAGCTGCGCCTGGTGCCCCGGGTAGAAGTCCTCGGCACAAGAGGCGGCCGGGCCCTGCAGGCCAATGGGCCCGGTGGGGCCCGATCGGGCCTTCCCCCCCACCGCTGCGGCTCCGCTTCGCCCCGGATCGTCTTGTCGGTCGGCCCTGGGCCGGCGCAGGGCCCCCCAGGGCCCCCCAAAATCATGAGAGTAGAAAGAGCCACTACCACCAGAACTCCACAGAACTCCGCTCCCAAGGCCACTCCCCCGAGCTGGTGGCACTCCGTTCGGGGCACGCTCTGGGGGCGCGCCCGGAACGGGGTGCCACCAGCTCGGGGAGGGGGAGCGGCCAGTCCCCCTAGCTGGTGGTAGTGCTTTTTGCTCCTCTGGTGACAGAAGTGGGCGAGCAACGACATATGTACATGTACGCCCTCCGCGGTCTTGCCTGCACGAACGTCCGCGTTGACACGCACTCCAGGGGAAGCCAACCGCGTACGTGTACATATGTTAATGGCCTCTGAAGAAGAGAGCGGCTAGCACCGATGGGGCAGGGAACGGCGTGAGCATGAACAGTCCGAGGTCCGCGCAGACCTCTTGGGTCTGCGCTGGGCCCTCCCTGGCGCGCGGAGCGCTCCAGGGGCGGCGCCGCCAGGGGTGTCCAGCGCAAATCCAAGAAACCCGCGCGGACCCTCGAAATGTCAGTTAATGCAGCGTGCGACCGAATAGCAGGGATGCGCGGTAAGGACGCAAGGACAGTTGACACTACACTAGTGTTGAGGCCGTTTGAGCGACGAGACCAGCGATGATGGCTGAGGCTGGCCCGGAGGTGCAAGGATGCAAGGGTCAACTTTGGAGAACTATCTCATCCTGAGACCTACTCGGTGCCGCCAGAGGTGGCGGCAGGACGTTGAGACGGCATTGAGCTACTCGGAGGGCCTGTTCAGGCCAGCCAGGAATACCTGGTTGGTCTGTCGATGCGCAACCCGAAGCCCTTGGAAGCCTTCCCCTAGGATCAAACGTTACGAAGCATGTAATTATTTGAAGAAACTCGGCCCGAGCCCTGGACCCCATCTCTCTGCGCGACCCCGATCGATCCGTGAGGGTCTCGGGGCCCGAAACAAGGCATACCGCCCCCTGCGCAGTAGCTGCGATGTCAGGATCTTGATATTCGCCGAGCACAAAACAAACTGCAGAGACCCGCTTCCCTCAGGACCCCGCTCGCTTCGACGGCGTGGGAAGTCCACGAGCGCGCGGTAGAACGCCGCCAGCTCCGCCGGAGCGGCCGCGACGAGGCCCTCCGCCTCCGCCGCGGGGCCCTGCGGTCTGGGCGCGGCCGCCTCCCTGCGCTCCTTGAGGGGCGCTCGAGGTGTGCATGCGCAGAGCTTGCCGTCGCTCGGACGTCCATGTCCCGTGCGTTGTTCGGTTTAGTGCGTGTTTTTGTTTGCTCGATGGTCCGGGACGGGTTTGCTCTATGGTCCAGGACGGTCCTCGATGGTTCTCGCCGAAAAAATGCACACGTCCGAGCGATGCCAAGAGAGTCGCCCGGTCGGCCAGGACTGGTGGGGCTTCGGGCTGCCTGAGATCGTGATGGGCCGCACAAGGACATACGAATACTACATGCCCTTAGGCGCGCGTCCGACCCGAACTGATGGTACACACGTCTTGAAGAGTATCGTTGCCCGAGCGGTGTGGCCAGAAAGCGCCAGCCACGACGCATATACTATAAGATTTCGCGGTGCGCACGTCACCCCTTTGGGGGCGACGCACATAGAGCATCAGTATGTTAGGGTGACGCCGACTTGACGTCGCTGTTGCTTCACAACGGGCGATGTTGCCCTGATTCGGGCCCCGAAACCCTCACGGATCGATCGGGATCGAACAATGCCGCAGACAGATGGGGTCCAGGGCTCGGGTCGAGTTTCTTTTTGGATGTTGCATTTCTTTCGTGACGTCGGATCTCAAAGCGAAGGCTTCGGGCTGCGCACCGACAGTCCCCCAGGTGGCCCCGGCTGGCCTCAACAGGCCTCTGGCGGCGCTCGTGGGGCGCTCCGCGCCCTGGGGGTGGCGCGTTGAGACCGCCCCAGACCAGGCACACTCACTCACTCATGCCATACGCCGGAGCGCGTGGGCGAAAGAAGACAAGACAAGGCCAGCCGATTCGGCGACTCGACACTAGGCGGAAGGGGGCGGGGAGGGGGGGGGAGGGTCTGGCTCCAGACCTGTACTTGGTGCGACTGCTTGCAGCAGTGCGTCCTATGGGGGAGGCTCCACCTGCTCGAAACAAGTGCAACAAAAACAGCCAAGGTCCACTCCAGGGGGGGGGGAGAGAGCGGGGGGGGTGCGAGGGCCCGCGCCGATCGGCAAAACAGCGAATCCGCCGGCCCCATATGGGGCCACCAGACTATAGGACGAAGCTTCGCAGTGTCCTGTGCCAGTTGCAGCTTCCAGTTTCCACTGTTACAGTTCTGCTTCTTGCTGCTTACTATTCCTTGTTGACTTCTTGCTGCTTACTGTTCCTTGTTGATGGACCGCGCGAGGAGGGGAGGCCCAAAACGGGCATTTTTACCACGCCCTGAGCGTGTTGTCTGAATTGCTGGAGTGGGTACAAATTTACACCCCTCACGCAGATCGGCGGGGTCAGGATCCAAAAACAAAAGGGATTTGCCGCATTTCTGAAATTCGGCGGCACCCCTCACGCAGATCCGTAGGGTCGGAGTCCAACAACACATGGGATTTGCCACATTTCTGAAATTCGGTGGCACCCGTGACGCAGATCCGTAGGGTCAGGGTCGAAAAACAAACAGGTCCCGGCACTGCTTCACGGCGGCGCCCAGACCTCATGATTTAGCTTTTGCATCTCCCGTTATCCGAGACAGGGGGGCCAGCGGCATGGGGCGAAGCCCTTACGGATAAGAAAACAATCACCTACTCGGTGGTACTGTGTGGTACTGCTGAGGCCAGCCAGGACTACCTGTGGGGGCTGTCTGCGCGCATACCGAAGCCTCAACAACCAGAAGGCTCGGTGTACCTTGACATCCGCGCGCCGCAGAAGGAATCACGACGGGATGTTTGCGTTGTGTTGCAATGTTCGGCCTCCGGGGGCCATGACTGGGCCCAAGGGCCATCCATAAAAGACGCAGGATGAACAACCAGGCCTGGGGAACACGCCGAGACCTCCGGGGGGTCCACGCTGTGAAAGACGCGGGGTGTCTGAGTTCTGGGCATACACAGTGAAGGCATTTTTGTACGTCGGCGGCGAGGACGAGGAAATCCGCACCAGCGAAAAAGGCGATCCGGGGCAACCGAACGACGAAGTGGCCAGCACGCAGGGCGGGGAGAAAGACAGACGAGGCGGCCGCAGAGCGGGGGAGGGGCGGAGGGCACCCGGATGTGGCAGCGTATGCGCAGGGAGCACATGCCAGACATCCTGCCAGGTGGAGGCATCGACGGCACTCTCCGCAGGCCCCCGAGACCTCCCCGGGTGCCCCCGGGCGCCTCCGTGGGTCCCCAATGGGCCACCCCGGGGGCGAAGAGGCGGCCGTCGGGCACCTGCTGGCAAGCCGACGTCGTATTTGATGTGCCTGCGGTGCACCAGCCCGCTCGGTCGGTCTCTGCGGCTCGGTGCATCGCGACACCTTCGCGATGCGGAAACGTCACGACGTGGAGCTGCTGCCATGTTTTCGACGTCCACTCTCCTGGTGCCCTTGCCGGGCTCCCGTATCGAAGCAAACAACGACTCAGGACGAAAAGCCCGTCTGGGACGTCGGAGTTCTGGGCATATGGACGCCTCATCTTGCCCCTCCTGTGGGATGCTGGAGGCTCTATGCACCCGAAACTAACTGGCCGAATTCGTTGGCCAATCGTTGAGCAGGGACCGACCGTCCCGGCATTCCTATAGTCCTACCAAAAAAAATGTTCTTAGAACCCAAAAATGTCTTAAGCACAAAAACAGTGTTCTTAGAACATGAACCTGATGTTTTAAAACATGACAGTCCCAGCCATAATGTTCCGAGAACATTTCGTGGGAACCACCAACAAATATTATAACATTGTTTCGTAGGGCTATAGGCAAGCCGGGACGCTTCGCCACTGCCTGAAATCGAGCGACCCAGACGACGAGGTGTACGGCAAGTCAAGTTCGTGTTGTGACGACCCCGGCCTTGGCTTCTGACACCGCGTGGATCGTTCAACCTTGAGCGACCGGCGGCTTCTCAATCGCGCAGGTCGTTCCCTACCGACCGACCCTGGGCCGCCAGCGGCGTTCCACCTTGTGAGAACGCCAGCGGCGGTGCCGCCCGCGAAGCGACGTGGCGTGCCCAGACGTCCTCCGACGTGACCGGCGTGATCTTCTCAACCCGCGGCCCAAGAGGCCCTCGGGGTTCACGTCGTTCATTTCTAATCGCGCTCACTTCTACTTGTGCTCGTCTCTAATTGGTCCTGGCCCCCTGGTGGCCAGGAAGAGGCCCAGGATAGAACAATTAGAAATGAAAGGATCCTGGCCCCCCAAGAAATCAAAGACCTTTCGAAGAATTAGAGATGAAACATGTGTAGTTTCGATGGCCCCGCGGGGCCCTCTGACGGCCCCCAGAAGCTGAAATGAGAGCACAGCGCTGCGATTGGACGATTCGTACAGGCCTCGGAAAGGGCGTAGCGAACACTCATGCCACATTCGTCGGTCAACTCCTCTCGCTCCCCCAGTGTTAAAAATTGGCGGTGGGTCTCATGAGTTGCACCTCGACCGCTGTCTCCCCCATGCGTACCAACTTTGAGCTTGGGGGAGAGGAGGAGTGTCCACGAATTGGTTCCCTCTACCGGATTGGACGACTCATGTCGCCGGAGATCCTGGGGAAACCCAAGCGTGCCTACGCCGCTACTCCCTGGGCCTCTCCAGGGGTGTGCTCCGACGAGAACTTCGAGGCGAGTGCAGCCGTGACGACGAGGGCTTCTCAGGAGGCCGTCAAAGGGCGAAAACGAGGAATGGGTTGCGGTATCAGTGCCTTTTCCTGCCTCTGGCCCAGACATCCGACGTCGTGATGACTTCGCAACGTGGCTCCGCATAGGTCTGGACCCCTTTCCAGGGACCGGCTTTTCATCCCGAGTCGATCTTCAACGTTCCTGGGGCCAAGCGAGAGCCCCAGGAGGCAGAAATGAACAGAACCCTGCCGCGCCGTGATTCATTCACATCGATAGAATGCCAGGGAAGATTTGGGAACGACGTGGTGCACACACTGAGATCACCGCTAGGGTTTTAAGGGGATAGGGGGTGAGAAGTGAATGCGAGTGTGGCCTATATCTGGCCTAGCCTGGCTGATATGTGGCTACGTGTGCCCTACGTGCCCTACGTAGTCCAGGGTGATTCGATAACTCCGCCAAGCGGGCTCCGCCCACTTAGTAAGATCGGCACCCCCTCCTGAACCACTTGGAGCACCTGTAGCCCATGTACAAGCTGGGTCAGGCCAGACGTAACCATATTCAGGATGCATCTTTATAGAGGCGCAGGACATGGCATAAACTTACTTTTTCGGAGGTCCGCGCGGAGGGCGCCACGGGTGCCGCCAGAGGCGCCGCCAGGGGGGCCCAGCGCCGATCTAAACAATCCGAGCGGACATCAGGAAAGGCATAGTTCTGCCATTCCTTGTTCCTCAATTCTGACTCCCCTATCCCCGGAACAACCCCCGCAGTCACCCTAACGTGAACCGTCTATGGCACCTGTAAACCACCTAGGGCACATGCAACCCATCTATAGGACCCCTTGTACCCCCTCCTAAACCACCCAAGGCACCTGTAACTCACTTGTAAGTCAGGTCAGGCCAGACATGACCCACTTTAGCATCCACTTCTAACCCCGCCATCCCCTTAGCCCCCCCCCGTCATCCGAGCATCGAGCCCCCTCCGAGCTCTCTGGACCCCATCTTTCTGCGGCGTCTTCCGAGCTGGATCGATGCGTGAGGGTCCTAGGGCCCGAAAGTCCACATCGCCCGTTTTGGGAAAATTGCGACGCCAGGGCCTCTGGGAACGACGTGGAACACATCGAACCCCTTCCGAGCTCCCTCGCCAGGCCCGGCGGCAGCTGCGGGAGCTGCTCGCCCTCCGCGGGCTCGCCGCCTGGCGGATCGCCCTCAGCGGCGTCGGCGCCGGGTGGGCCCTCGTCCTCTGAGGGGCAACGCTAGGAGGGGGCCAGCTCAGGGGGGGGAAGAGATCGAGCTGAAATCGGCGATGCACCTCCGATGGATCGGCGAGAGGCCCCCGATAGCGAATTTGCACGGTCCTGGGCGGGGTGGGCTATCGGGCCCCCATCGGCGACCAGTGCAAGATTGAAGGGGGGTTGATGCGTCCCCCCCCCCTGAGCCGCCCCCCCCCCGGAGTTGCCCCTGATCCTCGTCGAAGGGCCGGCGGACCCGCAGGACGCGCCTCGCACGGAGAGGGGGCGCAGATCGATCACGAGCGGCGAGCGTATCCACCGCCGCGCCCTCGCGGTCGGGACTCCGGGGCGCCATCACGCGGATGCGCGGCCGCGCTCCGTGCGGGGCGTGCGCGGACACGCGCCCCGCATCAGACCCGGGCGACGCACGGCCAACTGGTGGACTCTGCGGCCTCGGGGGGCCATCCCCTGGCCCCGGGACCGTCAGAGCACGACTCGGGAGGAGGAGCGGGCACCCTGGGCAGGGGTCGAGATATCCTGGGGGGCCCTCGCCCTCGTCGAAGGGCTGGCAGACCCGCGGGACGCGCCTCGTGCGGAAGATCGGGCCGGTGGACGGAAGGGCGGGACACCCCGGGATCCTGGGCACCGAGCTTGTCGCAGCGGGCGGTTTGCACTGTTCCGGGCTCCCGGGGCCCTCACAGATCGACCGGGCTCAGGAAGCGTCGCAGGAAGATGGGCTCCAGGGCTCTGGCCGTTGTTCTTCGGTGTTGCATCTTTTTCTTGTCGTGAGGCTGGATCTCGAAGCCTGGTGTATTTTATCTGCCATGGAGCAAGCGGGTCCCGAGTGAAAGGAGCTCCAGGGGCCCTTCCCTGGCCCGGGAACTGCCAAAAACATGCTGTGCGGAGAGTTGGTTTGTGCACCGAGGTCCAGGACCCACTTTCTCAGGTTCTGTTTCCTTCACGCCCACTTTGGAGCTCCCCCGAATCGGATCCAAGTACATGGGGTCAGAGGATCCGGCCGCATCTTCGATGCATCGGCAACGTCAGCGACGCATAGACGATTTCGTTGTGAAGATAGTAAGGCTCTAACAAAAAACAGCGATAACAAAAGCCACAACCACAACAACAGTTATAGCAACAGCAACAACAGCAAATGCACATACAAATGCCAATGTAAATGCAAATGCTGATGCAACAACAACACCAACAACAACAATCAGTTTACCCTCATGCGCGATGTTTCCACATAATGCAGGCGACCATCATGATAACCATCCCCATCATGGGGGATTATTGTTCTATAGCGGGGTTCGTTATTCCCATTCCCAGATCTCCCGCCCAATGAGGTCTTGCAAACACCTCCTCCGAGGAAATTCAACATATCCCGCCTCGAAAATGCATGCCCGCGCCTTGCTGCGCCGATGCGAGACCGCCAGTGGAGCCCCAGCCACGGGTAAAGCACAAGGAAGTATCGAGCGACAGGATTGCCTTGGTGGGGATGGGGGCTGTCGGCGGCGAGGCAAAGACCTGGCCCTGAATAGAAAGGGAGGAAGTCTCGAGCAGGGCCGCTGTTGTTGCTGGGAGTGGCGCCAATGCTGAAGAGAATAGGGCGCTAATCCAGCGTAAAAAAAAGAAACCTCGAGCGGGAACGCTGGTTTTGTTGGGATGGCTGTTGTCGGCGGCGAGGAGGAACACCGCCTTGAGTAAGAAGGGAAGAAGTCTCGAGCGGGAGCCGTGGTTTTGTCGGGACGGGGGCTGTCGGCGGCGAGGAACAGCACCGTCCTGAGGAAAAAAGGAGGATGCCTCGAGCGGGAGCGTTGCTCTTGCTGGGAGCGCGCCAATTCAAAAGAGAGTAGGACGCCAGTCCAGCGTAAAACGCGAGAAAGTCTCGGGCAGAAGCGCTGGTTTTGTCGGGACGGCGGTCTTCAGCGGCGAGGAGGAGAGTAAAAAAGGGAGGACGTCTCGAGCGTGAGCGTTGTTGCTGCTGGGGGCGGCGCCGATGAGAGAGAGAGAGAGAGAGTAGCGCGCCAATCCAACGTAAAACGGAAGCAAATTTCGAGCGGGAACGCTGGTTTTGTTAGGATGGCTGTTGTCGGCGGCGAGGAGGAACACCGCCTTGAGCAAGAAGGGAAGAAGTCTCGAGCGGGAGCTGTGGCTTGTCGGGACGGGGGCTGTCGGCGGCGAGGAACAGCACCGTCCTGAGGGAAAAGGGAGGATGCCTCGAGCGGGAGCGTTGTTCTTGCTGGGAGCGGCGCCAATTCAAAAGAGAGTAGGGTACCAGTCCAACGTAAAACGGGAGGAAGTCTCGGGCAGAAGCGCTGGTTTTGTCGGGACGGCGGTCTTCAGCGGCGAGGAGGAACACCGCCTTGAGTAAGAAGGGAGGAAGTCTCGAGCGTGAGCGTTGTTGTTGCCGGGGACAGCGCCGATGAGAGAAAGAGTAGGGCGCCAGTCCAGCGTAACACGGGAGCAAGTCTCGAGCGGGACCGCTGGTTTTGTTGGGACGGCGGCTTTCGGCGGCGAGGAAGAGCACCGGCCCTGAGCAAAAAAAGAGGAAGTCTCGAGCGGGAGCGTTGTTGTTGTTGGGGGGGCAGTTTGGGCGCCCACCCAAACCGCTCGAGCGTGAGCCTCATGTTCAATGAAAATGTAGCCGGCGCCGAGGCGAGAGCGCCAAGGCGACTGGGGGGGTCCAACAATAATAACTGCTAAGTAGTTACCATTCAATAACAAAAACACTAACAACGAAAACAGCAACACCAACAACAGCAGCAACAACAAAAACAACAGCAACAACAGCAACAACAACAAACACAAACAAGCAAGCAAGCAGGTAAGCAATCAAGCAAGCGAACGAACAAACAAACAAACAACAAATATCCGCATCCCAGAATCCCACTTCAGCCACGCACCCAGGGACAGTGAATGACCCTTCGTCCCCCTCACTCTGACACGTGCCCTAAGTTAGACCAGGTCTGAAATGTTTGTGTGATGCGATGATCTGGAACGACTCTTGGGCCGGGCGGGCCGCCGCGGCCTCGGCTGGACCCCCCCCTCCCCGAGCCTCAATGCGCCAGGGGCCGCGGCGGGCGCCTCGCACTGGAGGTCCAGATGCCGGCAGATCTGCACGACGTCCTCGGCGTCGTCCGTGCTCGCCTCTGCGGGGGGGGAGAGCCACAAGGTATCCCTACCGAGATGACCGCGGCGGCTGCTAAGGGGATATACTGGGGGGGGGTAGCAGTGAAGGCTGAAGTAGGCAGTATCTGGCCCGACCTAGCAAATGAGCGGGTTGCGGGTGCCCTAACATGTTTGGGGGAGTCACGAATATCCGCTACGTGGGCGGAGCCCATGTCGCTCCTCTACGCCACAGGAGGCACATGATAAACCACCTGAGCATCCTCCTCGAAGCCCCCTTATCCCCTTAGCAGCCCAAGCGGTCCTCTCAACATCCCTGATCCCCGGACCTCCCCTGGAGCCCGTTCCTACCAGAACCCCGAAAAGCGAACCCGGCCGTGGCGACGAGGGCCTCTCCGAGGAGGCCCACAGGAGCCGCAAGCAAGGCACTCCTCCTTCTCCTCCTCCTCCTCCTCCATCCTCCTCCTCCTCCTCCTCCTCCTCCTCCTCCTCCTCCTCCTCCTCCTCCTCCTCCTCCTCCTCCTCCTCCTCCTCCCCCTCGCCCTCCTCTTCCTCCCCCATCCCTCCTCTGAGCCTCGACCCTCAGCTCGTGCGGCGGGCCCTCTGCTGCGTGGAACCTGGCCAGCGAGGCGTAGTGCGGCGAGAGCCGCAGCTTGCTCAGGCTGCTGCGCTTCGAAGCCATGGCGGGCGCATGGGCCACGGCGGGCCGGGGCCACCGCAAGGAGCAGCTCGGAGGAGGTGGTCGAGCCAAAACGGCTACGGAGGGGGGCTGAGGGCTAGGATGCACGAGCCTAGGATGACGGCGCCGCGATCGTTGGACGACGCAGGCGCAGCCCCACCGAAGAGCTCTCGACTCCATCTCTGGAGCCGCCTTCTTCCGCCGAGGATCAGCATTGTTGCAAGTCGATGACCGACAAAGACACTGCGTCTCGGAGAAACACTCGTCGCGACTGCACGGGGCCTATCCCTGATTACGGTGTCTCCACTACCTTGCAATCGCGAGCAGTAAGCTTGTGTATCGCACATTGCCCATTTATGTATGAACGCGTGCTCACGGGATCCCCCGTCCCGTTGCCGTTCAATGTGAAGCCCGCTCGGAAATAGAAGGTACGTATTCAACAGGCAGCGGCATTGACAAGCACTTGTTGCCGAGCCTAGCTTCGAATGAGTGCGACCACATCTAGTGAACATTGTGCCCCAATCGTATAGTGAGTCCCTGCTTTCGCCCGTGAGCCTCAGAAAGCAGATGATGGCCCAATAGCCAGGTGATCACCATGCATTTGCACCTGGACGTGTCTCGACCGTTGCGGCAGGGCTTCGTCGGACCGTCAGCACATTATGCAGGATATGTTTAGGCAATCGGTTGAATCAGTTGTTTCTGACAATCTGCAACTTTACCAACTGGAGCGTTCCAGGTGAAGCGCCCGAACTGAACGAGAAGTGCCAACCAACGTCCACGCATGGTCCTGATGCGATACGGATTTAGTTCTTGCGTTGCCACGAGGTGCTTACTGAGATGCTGACAGTACCTGACATGCTTGCCCTGGCTGGCCGTGCTCAACTCGGCGTTGCTGTTACTGGTCCGCCCTCGCCGTTCGTTGATGTGATTCCTGCTGTGGCTCAGCAAATTGCAGGGTCGGGCTTCCTCCTGGTAACTGATCTCGCCGTCTCCTGCGCCTTGAACCTATCAATATTGAGCGTCTGCTAACTCGAATATGAGCGAATGCTTCGTCACAAGGGGACCACATGGGTCCGACCCTCTGCACGATTACAACAAGGATCAGACGACACACGCGCATACATAGAGTGTAGAGGATAGAGATAGTCACCAAGCATAATTGTCCTCGGTGGCCCATCACCATCAACATCGTTCTAATCACTACCACGTGTGCCCGCCTTGGAGAAACAGCTCGTCTGGCGAAGGACCCCAAAATATGCAGCTGTGACTACCGCAAGTATGAATATCATCTTCGCCCGCGCTCCCTATAGCGCCACGAACCGTGTGAGAGGCGTGCCGACATGCGTGGCGGAGCACACAACGCGAGCGAAGACGATAGGTTTGTGTGCGAGAGACTGAGAGCGCGTGAGTCTGATTGTGGATGAGTCTGCGCGCGTGCGTGAGTCTACGTACATAAATGTCGACGCCCATGCCGGCGCGCTTCTCACGAGGAGCGCGCCCGCTTCCTTTCCGTTTTTTTTCTCCCTCGTTGCCCTGGCACGCCCACGTGCAAGGCTGCGGGCGCGGCGCCGCACGGAGTCCCCGCGACGCGCGCTGGTCGCCCCGAAAGGGTCCCGGCGACGCGCGCGGGTCGTCCGCTGGGCGGAGCAGAAAGAGCGAGCAAGCTGGCTCCCGCCTGGGATGCGCGGCCCGAAAGAGGCCTCAATACGTCGAATACGAAGAAAAACCTCCGGAAATCGAAAGTCGCCGCCAAGCGAACTCCGCCAATGGGCCCCCATGCGAGTTCCGCCACTGAGACCAGTGTAGCTCCCTGTGGGGGCACGAAACGCTGTACTGGGTGGTGGATGACGCATGCGGGCGGTCCCACTGGGGCCTTCGGTGGAGCCCCCCCATGGGGCCACGAAGCGCTGTACTGGGTGGTGGTTGACGCACGCGAGCGGTCCCACTGGGGCCTTCGATGGAGCCCCCCATGGGGCCACGAAGCGCTGTACTGGGTGGTGCACGACGCATGCGGGCGGTCCCACTGGGGCCTTCGGTGGAGCCCCCCCATGGGGCCACGAAGCGCTGAGCTGGGTGTTGGATGGCGCATGCAGGCGGTCCCACTGGGGCCTTCGGTGGAGCCCCCTATGTGGCCAGGAAGCGCTGTACTGGGCGGGTAACGCATGCGGGCGATCCCACTGGAGCCTTCGGTGGAGCTCCTTGAGGGGCCACGAAGCGCTGTCCTGGGTGGTGGATGACGCATGCGGGCGGTCCTACTGGGGCCTTCGGTGGAGCTCCCTATGGGGCCACGAAGCGCTGCACTGGGTGGCGGATGACGCATGCGGGCGGTCCCACTGGGGCCTTCGGTGGAGCCCCCCATGGGGCCACGAAGCACTGTACTGGGTGGTGGATGACGCATGCGGGCGGTCCCACTGGGGCCTTCGGTGGAGCCCCCTATGGGGCCAGGAAACGCTGTGCTGGGTGGTGGATGGCGCATGCGGGCGGTCCCACTGGAGCCTTCGGTGGAGCTCCGTATGGGGCCACGAAACGCTGTACTGGGAAGGTGAAACGCAAGGAGGAGGGAGGAGGAGGGAGGAGGAGGAGGAGGAGGAAGGAAATAAGGAAGGAAGGGAGGGAACGCGGGGACCGTCTCTTCAAAACGTGGACCCAACAACACAGGTGGGTTGGGGAACAAAACAGCCTTGTGTGACCGCATTGCCATCTGGCTCTATTCGCCGGCCCAACGGGCCAGAGGCGTGCTAAGATCTCCGGTAACTGCTCTACAATGTTTCTACTTCGCGCGCGCGGGGCGGCCCCTGGGGGTCCCCAGACGAAAAGTACCCCGACCAGGTCCCGGCCGGTCCCCGGCAAGGTCCCCGGCAAGGTCCCCGGCAAGGTCCCCGCAAGGTCGGGCCAGAGATGCCGGAGCCCTGTTACAGGGCCCCAGGACGGGCCAAGAGGCCCCCAAGAAGCCTCCAAGACGGTCCAAGAGGGCCCCGAGACGGCCAAAGATCGCCCGAAGACGCCCAACAGGGCCCCAAGACAGCCCAAGAGGCCTCCAAGACGCCCCAAGGGCCTTCCAAGAGGCCTCCGAAGAGGGCCCCAAGAGGCCAAAATCGTTGATTTTCATTGTTTTTTTCGCTGTTTTTTGCGTTCTGGCTTTTTCGGCTTCCGGACGCTCCAAGACGGCCCAAGAGGCCCCCAAGACCGCTCCAAGACGGCCCACGAGGCTCCCAAGACGGCCCCGGAACGGCCCAGGAGGGCCCCCAAGACGGCCCAAGTGCCGCCCAAGACGGACCAAGAGGCCCCAAGACGGGCCCAAGAGGGGCTCAAGAGGGGAACCGAGAACTGAAAAATCGAGCCCTCCGCCCCAGAAGGCGCCCAGGAGGCCCCAAAAAGGCCCCAAGAGGCCCCCAAGAGGCCCCCAAGACGCCCCAAGAGGCCCAAAAGAGGCCCAAAAGAGGCCCCAAGAGGCCCCAAAACGGCCCCCAAGAGGCCCCAAAACTCGGCTAGCCCACAACTGTGCGACAATATGGGCCGGCGGAATGAGCGAAGCGATTAAATGTAAAGAAGCCTTGCAAATGCAAACCTTTGTTGCAGCAGTCGTTGCTCATGTAACCCTTGAATGGCGATCGTGCAACAAAGGCTTCGATTGGTCGAGAAGCACAATATCCAGTAACGGTGCCGTGCGACCGAGATCGCTGAACAGGAACATAACAAACAAGAAACCCATCACAACACAACTGGTACTGCCGCATGGGAAATCAAGCCAACATGATGTCAAACTGTGACTGACGCTGTCTTTAGTCCGCATATCCCTCGCAACAGCAGCCTGTACAACATGATTCACGTGGGGGGCATCCAAACTCATTTCAACTGCGGGGGATTATAATGGCCTCCACAACTCAAATCCTTTATCTACCAGCCTTTACGAAGCGATCCTTCGTGATATTCCCACACTGGAACTACTTTGTAACATCGCCCTTGCAAGACTCCTTTCGCGCCGGCCTTCCAAGCGGATTTCGATGTGGCGAGATCTGCCATGGCGGCGCTGCGTGACAGAGAAAGCCGCCGCGCGACAGAGAAAGCTGTATAGGAACACTGAAACAATGAAGAAATGTGTCACCTGAGAAAACAAATGCTCTTAACTGGGGAACCATGTTTTTACCTAACAGCGAAGACTGATAGGTTTCTAGTGGTATCAAAAAATAAAATCTCGACGCCCCAGAGGGGGCCTGGGCGGGACCCAGACAAATCCAGACAAAAGTGCAGCCTCTGGAATCCTTAGGAATCCTTAGGATTTTGTGCGAATCCTTAGGAATCCATTCCCAGAACACCATTCCCAGGCCGCATTTTGAATGCCCGGAGCCAACTGTAAGCCACTTCGTGTTCTTCGTGTTCCCGGAACACCACTCCCAGGACACATTTTGAATGCCCGAAACCAACTGTAAACCACTTCGTGTTCTTCGTGTTCCCGGAGCACCACTCCCAGGCCACATTTTGAATGCCCGGAGCCAACAGTAGGCCACTTCGTGTTCTTCGTGTTCCAGAACACCACTCCCAGACCACATTTTGAATGCCCGGAGCCATCTGTAAGCCACTTCGTGTTCTTCGTGTTCCCGGAACACCACTCCCAGACCACATTTTGAATGCCCGGAGCCAACTGTGAGCCGCTTCGTGTTCTTCGTGCTCCGGGAACAGAACTCCTGTAGTATATTTTGATTGCCCGGAGCCAACTGTGGGCCACTTCGTGATTTTCGTGTTCTCAGAAGACCACTCCTGTGCCATATTTTGAATGCCCGAGCTGAGGCGGGCTGAGGCCGAGGCAGGCTGAGGCCGAGGCAGGCTGAGGCTGAGGCTGAGGCACGCAGAGGCAGGCTGAGGCTGAGGCTGAGGCAGGCTGAGGCTGAGGCAGGCTGAGGCTGAGGCTGACGCAGGCTGGGGCCGAGGCAGGCTGAAGTTGAGGCTGAGGCAGGCTGAGGCTGAGGCAGGCTGAGACTTAGGCTGAGGCAGGCTGAGGCTGA